GCTGTTCAAAAAATGCCTTAAAGTAAAGCTAGTTTCACATGTCCTGGCAAAAATGAGTCTTCTTGCAAACAACATATTGAATGAAAAAGCTTACTTTTGACACTACTGTATCATAAAGTAATCATTGATGCCGCTACCTGCTGGCTTACACTGCTTACGATATTGCTGTGTGATCCTAAGAAGTGCATTGTGCTGTAATCACAGTCCTGTTGAGCAAGGATTTGAGATAGTGTTAAGATGGTGATCTGGGATCATTGTCCAATGAAGATGTTCACCTGGCAGAGGATGTCATTGAGTGTCTGAAGCCTATGAAAAACATGACAACCATGCTGTGCAGAGAGGACTCTCCGACAGTTTCAATCATCATGCCTCTGAAGCACCACTTGCTTGATCATGCTTGGGCCCCGGCAGATGAAACATGAAAATAGCCTATCTGTGTCTGAAATGAAGAAAATCAAGGCATCTAACATGAAGCTTAGGTATTTGAATAAGGAAAATATGTTTAATGTTACCTCAGTTTTGGATTCAAGATTTACGAACCTTCCTTATCTGTCTAGTGCCAAGAAGTTTGAAATATTTGGGAGAGTGACAACAGAAACTGCAAAACTTATTGAAAGGGATGTTGTAAAACCTGTTGTGAAAAAAGAACCGACGAATGATCAACCTCTACCAAATCTTGGACTCCCTGATGATGTGGCTACTGTCATGTAAAATATGAAACCTATTTCCACTCTTGAAACTGAAATCTGATGATCTCTATCCATCATCCAATCAAGTATCAGTGACAGGAGGGAAGTTTGGTGGATCCCATCTCTTTGATATACCAGGAGACTGATAGATTGACTGACTGAATCATGAGGTGTGATGCACAAAGGAGTTCTACCCAGTGTGATAACGGCAGAATGATGACATGGAATTCGAGGTTTTTTATATTGCTTTTCGTCAATGGACCAGTGTCCTGCCACCTGTAAATCCTGGAAGAGAGCTGCCCCGCCTACGGCCGAGGTGTCGACAAAGAGATGTTGTGTCGGGATGAAAGGCCACAAAAGACCCTGTTGCAGACATTTGAAATCACCAGCCACCACTGGAGATGATGACGCAGTGACATCAGTAGGGAGATCGAAACAATTGTCGTTTTGGAGGTAGGCTTCAGGAAGCACTGGATTGGTCGAAGTTGTCCTCTCTGAGTGCAACTGCCGACATCAGAAGACTGAGCAACTATTGCCATTTGTGTAGAGATAGGGGCTGTCTGAGTGCCAATGGCACTAACCTTTGTATCTTCGACCATCTATTCGGGAACAAACATCATGCCCTGTTTGGTGTCGAAGAGCACCCTGATGAACTGAAGACGTTGAGTGAGAGTCGTCTCGAACTTTGCAATGTTGACAAGCCAACCTAGCTGATGAAGAAGCTGCAAGTTGATGTGGTCTGGACGTTGTTGGAGGAGTCCCCACTAACAGCAGCCCGTACCTGTCTCCCGCCTACCGGAGTTTCCACAATGGGTTCGATGGAAGGTCCCAGTTGTCCCATAGCCAAACTGAGTCACTTTGAAGATGAGTCGCCAGTCTTGGCTGATTTTCCGAAGTACTTCACAAAGGAGACGGACGTTGGTGGACTTGTAACCACAATGCAATTGACGACAACATCCTCTGCCACGAAAAGAACTGGTCCTAGCTCCAATCACCTCATGGAGATCATGCCATGAATGAACAGACCTGTGAAGATTGCTTGCCGTAAAAGGCGACTATGCTTGTCATAAAAGGCGACTATGCTTGTCGTAAGAGGCGACTAATGGGATCTGGTGGTCAGGCTCGCTGACTTGGTTGATGCATCCCAATTGTGTGGATCGATGCTAATGATATCAATCACTGGATAGTCTGGTCCAGACTCGATTATTTACAGACTGCTGTCATATAGTGCAGCGTTAAACAACAAACCAACCAACTATGAATGAACAAACTGTGGTCATTAGCTTTGTTCTGTAGGTCCTCTATGTGTTGTTTCTGTAGTTTAAGTACATCTACAAATTCCTGGAGAGGAGTGTCCCGAGTAACATCTTGGGTGACTTCCTGAATCTGGTTAGAAATTTTTAGCGGGTGGACCATGGTAGTAAGTAAAGGCGCGACTTAAAAGTGGTCATCCCACAACAATATTGGAGTACACCCTGGGGATGCAGAGCTGTCAGAATGTATCCAGCATGGGTCAAGATAAGGTCCATGATACCCATAAACTCATCCTGAATCAGTGAAACAGAATCTCTCATAATGCTACCATCACACCAAAGTAGTTCTATCCCGTTCTAAACAAAATACTAGAACGGGCTGTGATCACGGTAGAATGCGTAGTTTGGCGTAAAATACAATGCTAGTTCGTTCAATATCTATCTCGTTCTTATCTCCTTCCTAGCCAGTCTGAAGTCCGTTTGTATCCAGTTCAGAACGTGAAAAAGTGACCGTTCACCTCAACCCGACAACGTTTTGAAGCAGTTCGAGCAGGTCCGTTGCCATTCTCAACCCGTTCTTAACCAGTTCAACATTGTTCTACCTCTTTCACAATACGTCCAAGCCAGTTCTAACTAATTCTTAACTCGTTCGCAGAACGTCCTTAACTCGTCCCAAGTGCGTGTGTATTCGCGTCCGACTCCTATGGATACTGAGCGTGTTGTAGCCAGTCTTCATTCAAGTTCAGGGCTCTGAGCTGTACACATCATGCCTCCAAAGAGAAGTCGACCCGGTCAGTGTGCACACGTACTGAAATTTATGTCGGACTGCACCACGTCGTAACACGTCCCAAGTAGGTTCGAAGTACGGCAATTCCGTTCGTAATACGTCTTTCTCGTTTTAAGTACGTTGTCAATCCGACCAATTGCAGAACAGGATATACGGGATAAAATTTTGAGCAGACTCAAAGTTCTGGAGCACTCTCTCCATCCGAACCCATCCATGAGGTTCGTAAAAAAAATGTCAATAGTTGCTACTACGTCCACTACGTTCATACACAGTTGGAGCCCGTTCGACAACATTTTCATGAACGTATTGAGAACTAGTTTGGTGTGATGGGGGTATAAGAGGTTCTTCAGTGGACTTGTCATGTGATACAGATGCACCAATAGCTTCAGTAGTATACCGTATATTGCTGTGTAAAAAGGCAAGTTTTTCATACCTGGAATCAAAAGGGGTGGGTTGTCTTATACACAGGGTTGAAGAATATAGATGTTTTTTTTAAAAAGGTTCCCCCAACACGAAGACATTACCATGAGCATGTAACACCAGAAAGGCCATGTCAACAAATACGTACTGAAGTACGCAAAGTAATCATGTATTTACACTGTCTAGCTATGAAAAGTGTTCATTGTATATCTGGACTTATGTTTGTAATCTTTTTTAAAAATTTCATTCAACATTGTTTACATTCATTTCGGTGAACTTGTGTGTGAAGTGATCAAAAGTTCTCACAACCCCGTTATTTTCAGCAACCTTGGTCAGATTACCGTTATTGACGTCTTGAAACAAACTTTAGTGGATAGACAACTTCTTTATTACAATTAGGAGCAACATTTCGGAGTAGGTTCTAACACCGTTATCAAGCAAGTTATTCATTGAAAGTCATATTGGTTGCAGTTTGACTATTATTTGTCAACAAAAGTTTTTTGCTTTTGCAAGCGAGTGAGCATCGACAGTGATGGGTCTAATTGTTCCATCTGAAAAAAATATCTGGCAATAGCGATTAGCTGTACCAAAGTGCTATGCTTATGGTTATTGATTTATTTCATATATATATATATATATATATATATATATATATATATATATAGTAAAACTGCAACTAAAATAACATGATATTGGAATAAATTATTCCTGATAAAATAATAGTTTCAGATACAATTCTTCCAATCATTGTATCAAAATTCTTTAAAGTTATATTATTGCGTAATTTTTTACCGAATCACCGGTAGATTCTGAGAAACATGTACACAGTTGATGTGGCTTAGTTTGAGACAATACACAAGGTAATCATAATCTCTGCATATGAAACAATGCTGAGCAAAACAGGAAATGTAATTAAATCAGTAAATCGTCTTGTGATGTTTTTATCTCAAATTTCAAATGTTTATTGATTGTTATTTGTTATAATCGCTGAAGACAAACACATTTTTATTGCAAATGTATGGATTGTGTATGTGCTGGTAATGTGCTTCATTCCGATTCACTTTATAATTGAAATAAGCGGGAGTATGTGCCGGAGAGTGGTGTCCAAGATCCCTTTCATCCCCAATAGATTTAGTAACATAATACTTGGGTCAGAGTGTCAAAATATCAACTTCCAGTTCCGATCTCACAGTGGTAGTCGACAAATCATGAGGACCAGTATCAGTTGAACTGCAGAGATTGAAGTTGATCTTGTAGACGGCAAAATGTCACAAAGGTCTTGTCAAAGTTTGTGGCGACATCAGACAGAATGGATCTGGGAGGTAGCTAGATGGTAGAGGTGAGGGCCCTGGGTATGACGAAACATGGTGACTGGTCATGTGGAGATGTGCTATATTGTAACTAAAGTCTATCTGCGATCCATGGAAAGACAAGAGCCTGGTCAACAATATTAAAAATCCTAGTCGATGAGGCCTTGGAAGACTGATGATCCAAGAGAACATTTATGCGAAGTTACCAAGTATGTACAACATATGTTGATGTATGACATCAGAACCGGTGATCTACTTTTACTAACATTTTTTCTTGGAAGGGGTTAGCACATTACAACTTTGAGAACTGTCGCTCTCCTTATAAGACCGTGTACCGCGAGATATTCAACTACTTGACCCAGTCAGGCTTGATGACCCCAGGGAAATGCCTACTATGTCTTCATTCAGTATAATAATCTTTGCTTTATGTGGTCCATATATAAAGAGCAGCAGCCATTATCTTACTTCACAAATTGCTCATTAACTCAAATTATTACTTGTATTAACCTTGGAGAATCAATGAATGTTTTATGTTGAACAGTGTCTAAGAAGAGCAACCTTCTCTCGGACCCAACTGGCATTTTTACATATGAAGAACAGTGCCAGAAACATGGTAAGTTAGTCTTTAGTGTATCTAGCTCAAGAAATACACTGACTTGAACAAACTCTCTACAGTGAACTATTGTATATTGCAAACTGATATCTGATCCCCGACAAGCCCAGATACCACTAATTAGTGACATGTAGAGCAAACTGAGAAATCTCACTCAGTGTCAAGTGTCACTGACAGTTGGCTATACGCAATCAGCGTCGAATCAGCACGGTCGCGGCGAATCAATACCATCGGCGGTGAGGATTCAACCTTGTTAAACTTGCTTTTATATGTTAATCTTACAGTCAGCAAACAGAGGCTAGAGCAAAACACCAACTACACATCTCCATGAATGTAAATCGTGAAATGGTAAATAAACAATGTTCCAAAAATGTTATGAATTTAGTGTTATTAAATGAATGTTGTGAAATGTTATCAATTGACTGCTATGAAGTGATCACTGCTAATACACCACATTTCATAACTTCCCATATTTTGCAAAATCGTCTCGAAATTTTCTCGCCACTATCGCGATACTACAGGGACTTATCACGCCACTTTTGAGACATTAAAGCGAAACTATTGCGCCTCTTTTGAGACACTTTCGTGCCATTTTCGCGATAACATTTGACAAGATCGCAGTACTTTCACAAAACTTTCACGGCACTTACACGCCACTTTCGCGCCACTTTCACGCCACTATCCCGCCACTTTCAAGACACAATAGTCACTATTGCTATCAAGTGATGGTTTTGCTAAGTTTTCGGCACAGTATTACGTTTTTCCTTGACTGATTTAGGATTCTTGAGTTATATTTTCCATTGCATGCTTGTGTGCATTATCTAAGATCATAGAATAATGCTTCTTTTCCTTTTACAGATACTGATATCTATATTTTATTTAGACTGCAAATGTAAGGTGAAATTAGCTGAGGAGATTTTCACAGTAACAACTAGAATAGAACAGAATCAAACACAATCATGTGTCTGCCAAAATGACCTTCAGGAAACCTCATAACCAACTAATGTTTATTGCATGTCTAATGTTTCGTGATAAGTTTCATTCTAAATATAATGTGAAATAGTCTGGACAAAATCGTTGTGCTAATAAAGATTTCCTATGATAAACGAAGGCCTTTACAAATATTAAAGTCGTTAGGTATGTGTATTACACAGTGACTGGTTCTTCATGTATGAACGATTATTAACATTGTAAAAGAATACATTTTTTTAGATTGAAAAAAATCAACAAAACCATTTCCATAAGTATCCTCTTTTCCATTCAATTCCGACTATATCATAAGCATGTGTTTAGGAATCATACCAGGTTTAGAGTGTATCCACCACAAACACATGCAAATGCAAGTCAGGTGTTTGCAAGTCAAAGACATGCATGTACAGTTACCACACTGAAATAACACAACTTTATATGAAGCTTCTGAAATAGACTTAAGGAAGAGCTAGTTTTGTGTATTAGAGGAAGGCACTGGGATATGCATGCATATATTTACATAGATTTATCAGACTGATTATGACTAGATTTGATTGAGAAATTTAAATCAGTTAGATGTATATTTCTTAGAATTGATGAGTACATGTAAATCTTCCATGAACTGCTATTTGAGTGTCCTCGGGAATTATAACATGGTGCCCCGATGTTGATTTCAGTTGGGGGGGCCCAGTGGTCTAAGGCGCCGCGATTCGCTGTGCATAGATGCTTTCCTTGGGCATGCCAGAAACCTGTGATTGTGGGTTTGAATCCGGGTTCGCCCCGATTATGTTGCTAGGTTTGTCAGCACCATACCCGTGCTAATGGGTTTTTCCCAAAGTGGTAAACGTCTGAGATCTGCATCACTTCGGGCTTTCCTCTCACATTAAGCTGACATGCTGTGATATAACTGGAATACTGTTAAAAGCGGCGTTAAACACAACTCACTGATTTCAGTGATTCTTTCTGATAAGCAGTGTCCCCTTCTAACTATCCACTTACTATAACTGTTGTCAGTGTTAAAAACATTCCATTGTTCTAAAACAGATAATTAAATAGTTGGTACACATAGGCATCGACCCGTTGGACGTGGAGATTTCATAATTTCATAAATCAATTTCTGAACTGGTCTAACAGGGTTTATTTTGTAAAACGTGCACATAGCTAAATTGTCAATTTAAGGTAGGTATATAACGTATGGGCTTTGCCTTAAATGTATGCAACATATTATTAAAGCAATACACAGACTTCTTTCTTCAGAAACACATGTATGTATTTAAAAGAATATCATTGAAAAAGGGGCCTGAGGTAATATTATCTGGTATGGTAGGTGGCAAGACGATTGTGTTGTATTATTTTCCACTTACATAGAATTAACTTTTCGCGAACACATTATACCATCACTATTTGATAGTGATTTATAAACACATGCTCATGATACAGTAGGAATCATACAATCGACTCTGCTTTTAGCAGAGATTTCTTTTGAATATGGTAAGGATTTTTTCCCTTCTTTTATGGAACTGTAGCAAATTTCAATATTTTCACCAACCTCGTTGGCTGGTATTTCGAAAGATACCAATTCAAGTTAGATAAAACAAGTAAAGAAAAAAGTAAAACAATAGAGGATCATAGGGGCCGTCTCACAGGCAAGTGAACGATGCGATGGTGAACTGAGGACCCCACAGGACCCCAAACAACCAACCACGTTGAAGGCTGGCATTCTAATAATAGTAAGCGGAGTCCAAGCCAGACAAACATTTATAGACGGAACAAAATGCAACAGAAACCCTTGTCATGCAGCTGAATGCTGGAAGTCGCCTGACACCTAAGAAGAAAAACAATAGGGTGCCTCATAACGCCCTGCAGACCACCCAGCGCCAGCTAAGGGTGGCAAGACAACCAATCAGCAATATCATGACACTGTGTCAATTATGTTTGCTTGTAAATGTGCTTATTTAGAAACAACAACATATGTACATTTGTAGTATCATATTCTGTATGCTATATCACAAATGATATTGTTTGTCATTTCCTTGGGGGCTATTATGAAAAATGTGTATTTTGATTGAGAATTTTGGATACCGTATTCGACGTGATAAGCGCCCCGCTCTAATAAGCGCCCACGGCGATATTTGCTAATGTATTGGCTAGTGAACAATCCCAAATAGCACCCCTTCCGATTGATCAATGTACACAAGACTTATTTATTCGTGTATAATACACACTCGTGTGTTATATGCACCCTTAATTATGGGCAATTATATTCTGGATAAATATATCTGTCGTGTATAATACACACAGACTTTTATTTTGTATCATTTCAGGCTGTCAGCATAAACCACAAAATTTACAATCTTTCAACTTTCTCCAAAATTGTATTCTAATAAGAGCCCCCTATTTCAAATTTTGAGAGCGCACTGGGCGCTTATTACGTCGAAAACGGTATATGTAACTGTGTTATAGATTAAAAGGAAAAGACAATCCTTGCTAAGTTCGTATTTGAATTATCGCTTCAGGACCATCGCTTATGTATCCTTGACACGATCCCCATGCTTGTGACAACCGTTCTGTTCGGGAATAGTGGTGGTTAACACCTCCATTATATCTATGTTACATGTATTATGAACAGGTCCCATCGTTGTATCCTAAGCAAGTTACGCTGTGGCACATTACCCTTACAAGTTGAAATTCGTAGATTTGCTAAACCTATCACGCCTTTACAGGATAGAATTTGTAAATTATGTAATAATATAGCTGTAGAAGATGAGATACATTTTCTCATTAACTGTCCATTTTATTCTGACTTAATAGATATACGTTATGGTTGAGAATTATAAAGTCTGATCCTACATTTATTTCATTCTCTCCTGTGGACCAGTCAGTGTTCTTAATGAACTGTAACACGTATATAAAACCTCTTGCCGCACTTATTTAAAAAATGTTTGCACGTAGGCAAATTTCCTTACTTAAAATTGTAATCCATTTTAATCAGGTTTTGCAATCCTATAAGTTATAATTTTTTTATGTATATACTGTTTTTCATTGTCCATTGTGTCTCATCTGCCTTTTATGGCTGATGTATGTATTTTACACCGTTTTTTTATGTCTAATGTGTACACATACAACATGTGACATAAATAAAATATTTTCTTCTTCTTCTAAAATGTTAACAGTTCTTTAAACACAACCAGGTGCTATAAGCGTACGCATAGACAACAAAGCCACACATTTGAACTGACTGTCGTTGCTCATTCATCGTCATATAATTAAATTTTTGCTGTGTTCATTGAAATTCCTCCATTCTGATCAGCTGAATTGGTCATGTGTTATTGCATTCATTTCCCAGTGAATGTAAAAGATTAAGCCATGCCCACCGAGGCTCACTACTTTTATTACTGCGGAATGTCGGGGAATCCCAATATTACACTCGAGGGAATTCCCTTTCTGCTCACGTGTATTGTCATGCAGAGGACATTTAGCGACTTCCATGAATATTCATTGTCCTAACTACCCTTTGAAACCGAAGGCAGAGAATGAATGAAACAGCAAACGTGCAGGCTCGCTCGCCTGTTTTTTTGTTCAACTTTCATGTCTTCAGGTTTCATTTCTAACTAGCATTTTTCCAACTGTAATCAGGGAAGTAATGTTTGAATTTGGCGGTAACTGACCATGTTATTTGAAACAGCTGCCTTCTCCTGGACATATAAATTTCTTCCGGTTCATTACAGTCCGACTGTTCTTTTCGCCTCTTGCCTTAATTGACAGGTCCAATGAACATTGTTTTTATCCTACTCTCCGTTGATTGGCTACTGACTCTGTAGGCGTGTCAAGTTATGTGCATAAATTAAACGATCACCTGATTCATGTCACGCCACAGTATGTATTCCTACACCTCGAATGTTTATCAATCTCGTCATTTTTGTCTGTTTTGATATATACAACTGTTTTTGGTTAAACTATTGTACATAAAACATGTTTTTACGTTGTCAAATTTAATTATAAGCATTGACTGTGTATATTTTTCTGTTCAT